CATTACAAAAGTAGGACATCGCGAACATATAATACCGTTGTCTACAGAGGAAGCAAGACTGAACGAATCAAGCCTTGGCTTGTTGTGCGTTTGCACTATCCCAAAGAATAAACAGCCATGAGACTCAATGAAAAACCAAGTTCAACACGGCGACCTGAGCGAACGTTCAATTTACTTCCTTGCTGACATCTGTATGCAGTTTGTCGCGACAGGCAACATGAAGCCCTAGTACAACATATCGATTTATATGCGTATAATGTCCGTATAAATGCAAGGTGGTCATTCCTGTTATCCCAAGGGGTCAAGGTATTTTGTATTCATTTGTGAAGTCTGGCAGGCCTCGTGCTATTTTGTCCTTAATACCTTTCACCACAGACACTCATGTTTCTCATGATAGCGTATCGATAGCGTTTATATTGTGTTGACATTCAGTATTCAGTAACAGTATTGTCAGCATCGATTTCGTTTTGATACTCACCTGTATCATGTGTCCTTGATGTGCACGCGGTATGTAAGAAGGAAGTAAATTGTTTGACGTATTGTTGCAAACCTCGCCCATGTTGCATCTTTCGAAGTGAGCACATCATCAGTTGAAGTTTCATTATGACGAGGTCTGTGAACGTTTGGAAGTGTTTCATAGGTTTCGGCTATATTCTTCAGCCAGTTTGTGCAGGTAAGACATCAATGTGTACATTAGTATTATTATTGATAATATTATTCGATGATACAATTCATCCATGCAAGAGAATAACAGCCTTAAGACAGATTCCGTTTGGTGCTATGGACAAAATAGCTGTGACAACTGTATGAATGGACACCAGAACATTAAGGATGACACCAGGTGTTCCTGAAAAGGTTCAGTGAACTACAGTCGATGAAGTAGCATAGACATGTATGCGTTCTAGTAGACATGTATATGTTGATATGCTATTGGCAGTAGATCTAATGTGTAATTCGTATATATTATACATTGTATTCAAAATCACCAATAGGTCGGTAATGGAAGTACAAATAACTTGGATATAACAAACTCGGATATCATTAGGATATAATCTAAATATTAAAACCTTAACCAAGATTCCAAATTGAGGCTCTTTGTATAAAAAAACCCACATCAGACAAACTTGATGACCAAAGTTTTGTTTAGTTTACGCCGGAATCAGCAATATTCCAGCTAAATGACGGCTGCCTGTAACCAGTAAATAACGAGGCAATTCAGTGATTGACATCATGAGCATCTGTCTGCGCAATTGCAATACGATAATTTGTGTCAATGAAGTCATCGAGCCTGGCAACCTGATCTCATAAGTCGCCTCTAAGGACATGCATGAGTTATTGAAGATATTCTTTACCCATATCTTCACGGTTGGGACCAAAGTTGATGGTTTAGACTATAACAGAGCATATCATGTATCTCTAAGCATATCATGTATCTCCTATAAATATACAGAAACCATGAAGAATTTGATTTCAGTATCACCAATGTGCAGAAGCGAAAGCTCTAACTTGCCAGTACATGTAGTTCAATATTTCAGAGATTCTCCATGATGTTTAGTCGAGCCCTTGACAGACCCCGGCAGTGATCTAAACAGATTCCATAGTTTCCCATGTGGATGACGAGCGTCGTCTGTCATCCACCAGACCCGATAACATAAGTGTTAGTGATGTATTTGTTCATCGTCCATAACATTGTCCCATATTGTACTGACATATGTATGGAACATCCGATCTGTGCGTTATGAAAACGATGCGTTATGGACGACAAGGTAACTGATATTACAATCGTAAATAACACAGCGGTAATTGTTCATACATTGAATCTGTGATGTGTCTTGTTCATGTAGGTACAACATACACCAGTAAGGCTTGCTATGGAAACAATCCCCGCTGTACACACGTCATGACCTCAGCTGCAACTCTACCCAGAAGATCGCCATCTATGACGCCTACTACACTAACAACACAGAGTGTGGTACAGGTGTCGCTAACTGCGTCGGTGTGAAACCGGACAGTGTGACAGAACATGGCTATCACAGGTTCAGCAACACTGAGCTGGTCTCCTTCTACAACAACTGTTCAACAAAGAGTCGGTGTGATGTTGCTCCTCGGCGGAGTGCTCATCGGACATTCTCTGTTGTGAAGTATCGGTGTACTGAAGGTAACAGTGTAGTTTAGACTTAACATTGCACTTAATGATCACTGTCGTTATATTGAAAAGATGGACTCTGAGATTGTCGCACCTAACATCATCAAAGCTATTCCTATGTGTTTATGCGGTATGTGTCCATATCTATCAACATAGTACAAACTGATCATGTGAATACGAACCTGACTGGCTAAGACACAAAACATTCTCAGGTGTTGTTCACTTTCCAATAATATGCATTGTATTCTCTGTTCTGAAATATGTGTCTTCTTCTCAGACTTAAATATAGAAATACACTTTCTGTCAATAACAAGTGTCCGTTAAATGAAAAGCAAGTTCCATGGAATGTCAATTTCTTTATTGCAATGAAAGCGACGTTTCGGTGCAGTAAGAACACTAACACCGTAAGGAATACTAACACCGGTGTAGAAAGAATACTAACACCGCCATATTGCATGATAATACGTGGCATTCACTGCAGTAAAGAAGTTGACTATCCATAGAACTTGGTATTCCTTCATCTTTACAACTTCTAAAATGGTATCCTCCCATTGTGCAGACAGGTAGTTTGCAGACGCCTTGAAACAACTACATTTACGGTTCAATGAACAGATTAGGTACTACCTGTTACCTACACATGATAACAGAATAGCCCAACCAAAACCACAAGGAAAATATCTAATGCCGAGTAGATATTTATTTCATGACAAGAATAACATGATATTTTTCAAATAACACGGTATAATGGAGGTGCAGTAGCTTCCAGTAAATATATCTTTTTCATCGAAATATTACACCTATATTCATAGATGTAATTTATCTTATAGTTTAATTAAAGCACTAACAGTATCAGTAGGTAGGCACAGTATCTATTAATTGTCATCATAAAAGTCAAAAAAGAAACTTCACATTCTTTCTTCAGGGCACTATAAAAGAACAAGAGAGTGTAAGATGGCTAAATTGTTATTATTTCATAGCTGAGATCTGTGTGATGTACTCGATACACTGACAGTGCCATAATCAGTTCCATGAGGCTACACCGCCGTTCCAAAACATGGGTATACAGAATGTCAAGTCACAAGAATAAAAATGCGAAATTTCTCAGTTCAATATCTGTATGGCCGTCCGCACATTCACCACTGCCAAACACCGTCTCCCCATCGACTGCCTGATGCTTGTGAACACGTGGTTGGGGATTCTGCGCCATTGCTCTTGCAAGGCAGCGCCAAGTTCCTGCAAATTCTGAAGTTGGTTCCTAAGACCACGAAGCCTTCTCCCAAGTGCATCCCAAACGTGCTCTATTGCATTATGGTCAGGGGACCTCGATGGCCAGTCCATGACGTTGATTCCAGCGTTTTGAAGGAAATTTCGTGTCAGCATCGCGGTATGCGGCGGAGCATTATCGTGCTGGAACTGTAGACCTGGGCCATGAGCCGCCATGAAAGGAACGAGTTCAAGGGTGAGCACCTGGTCGCGGTAAGCAGCAGCTGTGAGGTTTCCACGGATGACCAGAAGTCGGGAACGGTTGTTCCCACAGAAATCACCCCACACCATGCAACTTCCGCCCCCGAATCTGTCGACTTCCTGTACACAACATTGGGCATACCGTTCACGACGTCGTCTCCAGACTCTATGCCTGCCGTCCGCGAATCTGAGGGTAAACCTGGATTCATCGCTAAAGACGACTCGATTCCAGTCTCTCTGGGTCCATCGGAGGTGACGTTGGGCCCACAGCAGACGTTGACGTTGATGAAACGGCATCAATATTGGCCCACGATATGGACGTTGAGAATTGAGATTGGCAGCCCGCAACCGATTTCGAATGGTCTGTGAGGACAGTCGACCTCTAAACATCTCAGCCCTGGTTCGTGTAGCCGGCAGAAATCTGTCACGTAGGTGACGAAGGACGATTTGACGGTCTTCTGCTCGTGACGTCACACGTGGACGACCCGACCTTTGGCGATCAGAAGTGGTGCCAGTTTGTTGTAGACGACCTCGCAAGTCATACACAGTACGACGGCTGCATCCCATTCCTCTTGCGACGTCAATAACTGATCTTCCCGCTTGCAACATGCCAACGGCACGTTCGCGTTGCACATTTAACAATCGTGGCATTTCAAGTACCATTAGAACTGTGGTTTAAAAGTGTTTTTTCAATTCTTGAGGCCAATGCAAACACGTGCATATGAAGAAAACTTCGATGCGAAGATCACGTGATCGACTGCACGTGCAAAAGCTGATTTGGCACTAACGTCATTTGCACGAGGAATGGATGGGTTTGAGTGGGTTTTGCTAACGTTTTTTCTAGAGTCGAAAGATAGGGATCCCATTTCGGATACATAGATGTATCATCAGAGAAAAATTATTCATTATTTTTCAAATTACATGTTGTGAAGTTTCTTTTTGGACTCAGTATATATACGAACATCATATTCAGTTATCCAAGTTTTGTGAGGTTTGCCAACGCATCAAGGTACAGAAGTGGAGACTTAGCGTGCGGTTCATTGGCGGATCCAGAAGTGGGCGGGGGTGCTGAGGTGCGCACTCCCCTACCCCATCCCCCCCCCCTCTTGTCCTGAAAGTTAATTAAATGACCATTGAACTCCGGTAAAAATGAATTGTGCACCTCCCCTTTTCTCAAGCGAGTCTGTCAATTAGGATCTAACCTCTAAATTGCCTCTCAAAGAAATGTGCGTTACTTGACAATTGTAGAATGTATACTGAACTTGCCAGTTTAGAAACTGCACTTGAATCTAGAATTGCTCTTAACAACCGCTCTCCTGACGTGGTAAGCACATCGGGATCGGAAGACATTCAAGTCTGAATCTTTTAACAACTGAAACTCATTTTGCAGACGACGCGTCTTTGAACATCAGTGGGAGTTCTGCAGAGGGATTATCTCAAGTCTCACTATTCAATACAGTTGGAGCGATGGCTAATTCTACAATACAAAACAACACCTACGTGTGCAGCTTCAAATCTGATGACCCAACCACAATTGTATCAGTGTATTCTCTTGACGTGAGAATCAGACGACGAACTCCAGGGCAGTGCTTATCACAGTTCACTGTCCTACCTGCAAACTACATAACAGTGAATAATTGTTCAACTGTGTTCCATCCGTTTGAGAGACTCAACGTTACAGCGAAGCTCCCGATATCTATCTACTTAGCTATCCCAAGTGTGTCTTCAACGTTAATTTGGCTCCTGATCAATGGTAAGAATGTACACGGACAACAAGTTTTCAGCGGTACACCCAATGTACTGTGTTAAACAGCAGAAACTTCATCGTCATAAGCCTTCATTTGGCTTCCGAGTAAAGGTGCGAATGGGATCTATCATATGATATGTTATTGAGCAAACATGAAATTCACAGTAACTATGCACTTTCAACGATGTGTGCGTTGAATGTAGGAAGTTACACACAAAATGGATTATAGTATTGTCTTTAGCAAAATATGAAATACGAAACTCCCAGTCGTTCCTTGACATATTTCAGTTATATTAAGAGCTACGTTTGTGAGATAACTGTATGGCAATACGTGTGTTTCATATTGCAGCATCCGACCCTTTTGATGTAAGATGTCAACCAGTGACCAGCACAGGTAGGCAATCTTCAGAAGTTCACCATATAACATCTTCAGAAGTTCACCATATAAGTTTCTCAAACTAGATGCTCAAACTAGATGCACTATATACATCTTCAATGCAGTCCTTGGAAGAGATTAATGTACAGAAGTGCTATTGAAGTGTATCACATGTCCTCTTTGGTATTCCAAAGAGTTTCTCGATTAAATTTCTTATGATATCAGAACAAGTGCTGTATGTAGCTGAAAAATGAAATCAAAAGTGTATACACAGGTATTGCCAATGTTGCATTTGAATACTAACTTGTTATATCATATTGTGGATTTATGGGCGATGGGGTAGCCTAGTGGTTAAAGCGTTTGCTCGTAACGCCAAAGACCCGGGTTCGATTCCCCACATGGGCACAATGTGTGAAGCCCATTTCTGGTGTTCCCCGCCGACGTAAACTAAACTCAGTATTGTGGATTATCTCCCTACAACCTTCTGATGCAACGGATTAAACACCTGGTGTCATCACTGATTTTCGGTTATCCACTCATACAAATCTCATAGCTATTTCCCTCTATATGTCCTTTCATGTAGATGTTATTGACGTAGTTAATGTTTTGGATGCGCGATGAACCTAGGACCAGGTTAGAGAACCCACATGGGAACCATTACTGAGTAGGAATTTCTAAAATCAAAACGTATATTTGCAAAATATAAAAAAATGAACATGTCTTATTTAACCTGCATTGGAAGACATTTGTGCCCAGAGTCTATGACCTATTAACTTGATCTTTTCTTATCTTTATTGAAGATCTTGCTCCTGTGGTGCCACAAATGTGTTTTTTGGTGTATAAATAGCTTTTAAACATGTTCACAAAGCAATGCCTAATTTCGTATTCTATGTACAGGCTTATATATCTGTGTGCTTTATATCGTTTGTTTATACTCACTGCTGAACACGAAAGTACATTTAAATGTGTCCGCTTTTTCACAGGAGGATTCACTACTGAATCAACTAATGACAGGTCTCCTGCAGCCACGCCTCAACAAATCTCAGGCATGTAGTATTTACAGCAAGATTTCTAACATAACTGTTCAAGGGAAAATGATGTACTCACTCTCTTGCAAAGCAGTCTCGTTGTAAATCCCGGGACGGATCATACAATGCTGCTTGTCATGTCGTTAAATCTCACATACTTCCTTGTAGTCATCGCATAATATCAATAGTATTTATCATTAAAATTGTGATGTGAAAAGGGTCCTTTCATTTTTTTTGTGTGTGCGTGTGATTTACTATTGACATTGACTTGTTCCTCCGTTACGATTGCATGATCATTTTTTTTATATATGTATTTTGGTTACTGTTTTGATAAAAATATTCGTGTTTTTTCCACAGGGGAGATCACAACTTTGCCAAATAAGGATGTGCTCCCCATATCACGACTCCCACGTACGCATTATTCACTGTATGGGAACCTATACACAGTGGTTAAATCTGCAGACAGATGGCTACATTCTAATGTTAACAAGTTGCTTTCGTGAATATAGCTTAATTCATTCAAGTGAAAATATGACATTTGCGTGTTCATACCTCAACTTGTTTTAGCTATGTACAAAATTGTTCTCTATTTCAAGTGGTGTTGGCCTTGTGAAGTCAAAACACCGACCATTAAGTTTATGGAAAAGACTCATGTTCTGGCCTGTGTTAAATGTTATTTTACTCAAATATAAGTAAAGAGTGCTCTAGTTGATCTCTGCACAATAAACAGTGGCAGTTTTCTGTTTCAGCTGGTGTGTTTATGGGAGGGGTGGCTGCGGGAGCTGTTATTGTCATCCTGGTCGGTCTTGCAGTGTACGTCCTCGTTATCAGGTATATTGGAAAGCATTCACAAAATGTCTGTCATAACGTTTATCTCATTTGGGATGTGTATGAATGACTTCGGAAATCCATCCTATCAAACCAAAGTACAGAAAAACTAAGAATGGGATTAGATTATTTACCAAAGAAAAGACATTTACAGGACAAATTATCTGTCTTTTCAGACGTTGGTACGATCTAACAGCAAAGAAACAAGGAGACACGCCAGCTTCTGTTGAACACCCCACTTACTCCGGCCTGGCTGCAAACGCTGATGTCAACAACTATGCCATTATCGAGCAGACCTCAAGATCTCAAGAGGATACTACACATGGGTCAACGGCTACCACAGATTACCAAAACATTTGATTTACCTCTTTCATCCATTTTATCAGTCACGAATTTGTAAATGTAAAAAGAACATGATCGAAAATCGTGATTATTATCTTATAGCCATCCCAGTGATGTAGTTGGATAACGGATCCAAAACTGGTGAGTGGTGCGGCTTCAGACTGTGACTCTGATGAAGATGACAACGGCGATGGCGATGGCGACGGCGACGATAACGATGACGATAAACTTGCTCCTGATGCATACTTTCCTGAATGTGTTGACTCTGACAGTGGCCAGATCTCATACAATTTAGTGTCTACCGACGATTACATATTCCCTGTTAGTTGAATTGATCTTCAGCAACCCATGCTTGTCGTAATGGGCCACTATCGGGATCGGATGGTCACGCTCGCTGACATGGTTGACAATTCCGTTGGTCAATATTCATGAAGTTAATCACTGGATTGTCTGATCTACACTCGACCTTTAACATACCGCGCTGTTATATACCTGTCGTTTTGCTAAACAACAAACAGCACGAATCTTTCAGCACTTTATTTTCCATATTTTATCTTTGAGGTCCATACCTGCTTTTCTGTTACTTCGATAGAACTATTCTTAGGCGTGCATAGGAATAACAGATACATGTGTACATTTTACTGTGTAAATTACTCAGATCGATATTGTCGCTTTGATATGAAAACTGCAATATGTAATATCAAGCCAAATGTTATCCCTACAGTTGTATCTATGTGGCCCTTCTGTAAATTTGCATGTCTTTCCTTTGACGAGCAGAGACTGTATTCCCACTTAACAACTATTACTCCTATAATATCGTATGTCCATGCAGTGTTTCATGTATGGTGTCATTCTGTTTACTCCGTTAATTCAAATGATATTAATTTCATTTATGTTGTTAATTAAAATCAAATACCACTTGATTACTGTCTGTGATGGTTTGTGTATATCTCTTCCAAGAACCTTTGTACAGAATAGAATTTATGAGAAATTAGAGTGATCCACGTCAACGGTTATGTTATATTAACAAGTTCAGTAATACTACAACTTCTTTACTATCTCAGCGATAATCGCACTATTTCAGTTAGAATAACTTCAGCTTTCCTTTACAATCATTTATGAAAGTAAACGATTTTGTTTTTCATTTTGCCACGTGTTCGGAACTTATTATCTGAGGAAAATGACACCTGATACAAATTGCTATTCTATATCGGCTCCACGGGTATATTCAAAACAGGTTGTTACAATCAGAATATTTTCAAAATTATCTCGAAATTTGAATTTTGAGTTTCTATCGGAAAATTTACATCAGCAGCCAATGTATTTGATTTCTCACTTGTGTCAGAAGGACTCTGTATTAAGGGCCTGCGTAATGGAGGAGTGAAGTCCGAAGTGTTGCGGACCCTAGATTTTTACCTCATTAGTGATACTCACCCGCACAGGTATATTATTACACGCAACCCTTGATCATAGTTAAATGTTGGCTCAACTCTGCACAACAATATCCGGCAACTTAGACGACATGATATACTGACCTGCAGTCAACCACCGTTGTGTCGAAGCTGAATGGACCTGCGTAAATATCTCGAGTCATCCGACGTTCTTCAAAAAGGCACTAATTACTAAAGACGGAATACATAGGGTTCAATTATTATTTTGAAAAGCATTAACACCCTGTCTTTATATGTAGATGTATCAAGAGAGTGTAAATCATACAAATTTGCCCTGCTAAATGAATATGAACACACGTCCAGACGTCCTCCGCCAAATCCCCATTAACAAAGACGATAGATACAGAGCTTTGAGTTTGAGGTGGATCTGTTATCACGCTTGCTTGCGTTGTAGTTAATATCCATCCAATATGACCTATCCGTTTTACCACTGTCCGTCAAATAGTAGTCTATAGCTAGAAGGTGTTTTCCAGAATGATTTCGTGTAACATTAGATCTCTAAGAGTTTTAGTTAGTGCAGTAGTTACAACCATGCAATGTGGTCGTGTACTAAGGTGGTAACAACGAATCACTGTACAGATTATTGTGTCGTTGAGGATGATCAGTCAGGCGACAGTGTTTCACACAGTATGACATCAATATGGCTTTCACAAACGCCCCACAACTTCCTTGTAGGCAACCTGAACACATTCCACACAGATAACGTTTGAGATGAATACTTTGATAACTCTTACTAGTCTAGAGTCTGTGAAGACTGTGTACAGCAACAACAGTCAAACTACAGTGTATATCCAACAACTTAGGTCGCACAAAGCTGGTGAATAGGGAACCGTACAAAGTGGTGTCCTCTTTGACAAGTGACCTGTTCGCAATATGTACTAGCTCACACAACAGCCAAGGGATATTTGGTAGGATGAGATAGAACAAGCCTCTAGATGATACACAACACAACAACTGGTGAGTGAAGAGTTATTTTTCTGGCAATCTTCTCTGAATATCATGTTTGACTTTACACATTATACCGATTATATGCCTGCGGGCGTGGTGGGCGAGCTGGCTATGGCGCCAGGCTGGTGATCCAGCGAGCTTGAGGTGACGGGATCGAGCCCACCTATGACCGGGTGTAAAAAACATTGGAGTCAATTTTGTGTGCAGACCCTAGTGTGACTATCTATCCCAGTCCACCCAGCTGTGAATGGGTACCTCGCAGTGATGAGAAAGCCACACTAACTCGGTGCGTCTAGTGGCTGCAAGAGTTGCATGCTCCCATGGGAGCTGAGATTGATAATACGACGTGCCGTTGAGACTGACATCCAGTGATCGAGGGTAAAAGAAAGCGCCTTTGGGCAGCTCAGCTGAGCTTGATATCGCCGCTATGCAAATGTAAGCATAATAATAATATACCTCTGGGGAATCGAAGCCGGGTCTCGAGTATAACGAGCGCGGTTCTGACCACTAGACTTTTCCAAAAGAGATTGATTAGTAGTACTAACAATTTCATAGCTTTTATATCGTTTTAACGTCCCATCCAAACAAGTAGAAAACAAGTCGTGTGGAATATATTTTCATTAAGCGGGCTACCTCTCACTCCAGCCTGTCTCTCGCATTATAAAGTTGGCAGCATTCATATCGTGCTGATACTCACCTGTACCACGTCACCTGTGCATAGTTATCTGTATTGCATGTCCTTCATGTGCAGGCGGTGTTTAACCAGGAAGAACGTTTCGTGCTAATGCAACGAGTTCAAGAGTCAACGTCATGGGAAAGTCTGTGGTCGTTTTGATATATGTCACCTATTTAAGCTGCATTCTTCAGCCAGTGCGTACAGGTAAGATATACATGTATATGGACATATGGAACGAATGGTGAGCATACGAAAATAGTAGAGCTTTCCGTGTATGGATAAGAACAGACAGGGATGTTGTTGATGCATTTATGCATAGGTACTTTTATGCAGATACCTGCAAGTATAGCAACTATTCTAGGAGATACAGGAACAGTAACCTTATTTTGCGTTTCGCGTAGATATACTGGGAGCGACATTTGGAACGCATACTTTTCTCTTGGTGCAAGTACATGCAATGTATATCTGTCAACTGCTACCTAAGATCTATACCCAAAGGCCAAAGGTATTGAGACCCAAAACAAGAAACAGAATAAGTGTCACACTTTTACAGCCGCAAATGCAGTGTTGATGGAATTACAACCCGAGCATATACAAATGAGCGAAAACACAAATATGGATTCACAAGCAAGTTCCCAGAATCATAACGAGTGTGTCCATCCTGTACATTGATGCAGGCCTGGAATCCCGTCTCAATGAAGCCACTAGACGTCCATGGAAGTCCTCGCGAAGATCATTACATATCCGAGAAAGGATTTCGTGGAGTTCCTGAAGTTGGAGGATTCGGATGACGTCTCTCTATTTCATCCCAGACATGTTCAGTGGGTGACAAATCTTGTCAAGGGGATCTTGCTGGGGACGGATAACACATTAACATTAACATGACTAAGTTACTACTGATATAGAAACCGCGGAGCAACATATGACCGTGTTGAAATGTGTGCTGTGCGTGTGTTAAAACTTGACTCCGCCTCCATTCTGTTGCAAAAATAGTAAAGTGGCTATTTGTACAATCTCGTCGCGGAACGTCACAGCATTGGCGTCCTTGCTGAAACTGTTGTCCCGCTTCAGATCGAAATAACCTGACCTCTAAAACGATCCCAGTCGAGAACACTTATCTTGATGAAACGGTCACCAGTGCGTCTGTAGACACGTGTCCTGCCGTCAGCTCAGTGAAAAGGGAAACGTGCCTCATCAGTGAACAGAACACTTTCCATCACAAGTGCAGTCTGTTCCACCGGAGACGTCGACGTCGATGTCTTGACTTGGGCTGGGTGTCTAGGACACCACATGGATAACGTAGACGTCATCGAACTATTCTCCTTAGATAGCCCTCATTTGCCTGTGGTGTTGGAGGTGAATCTGTCTTGACGTGGGGTTGTTTATGGTGGGCTGCCACTATCAAGACGGCCTATAATGTGAAAGTTTTGCTGAAAATGTCTAAACAGCTAAACTGAGTTTTTATGGACGTTCTGTGGACGGTGTTTCCAAAGTCACACTACAAGGTATCACACTGAAGCAGTCATATACCTATCCGTTGGTCATTTTCGTGGTATGCCGAACTAGTTCCAGAATGAATAGTCTTTTCCTGACATCTGCACTTTTACTGCTCTCAAGGCTGCACTGAGTGCATTGAAATTATAAGTGTCTAGTTCTCAGTCCTTTTTTTAAGTGAACAAAGCTGGTCATTTCCCTCGAAAATGCAATGCTTCCTGCATTTTTCTTGCAGTTCGAACAACAACTTCTTCGACGGTTTTATCATGATTACCACTGACACAAATCCATATCACAATATAGAATACTTAGATTCTATTTAATTATAGAAGCGTGTCGACTTTGGGTATAATAAACTTGGATATCATAAGATAAACCCCAAAACAAATCTTCAACATAGACGTCACTGTTCTCGTGAATAGCAGCAATTGTGCAAGACCGTGCATTTTTTTAGTCCAAAGTGTAATGTGTGTTAAGATATAACTTGGCTTAAAACGACTATGACTATTCTTAAGGATAGCCTATACGCATATATCCTGTAATGAGTTCAACAGTCAAGGCAAAGTTTTCATCATCGAATTATCTAACTTAATTAAACGAGTGTTATATTTTAACACGTATATATGTATCTTAGCGAGTCTTAGTTCTGTGAAGCTAGTTATTGTGTACCATTTGGCCGAAATACTGAATCGATGATTATTACTGACAGTTTCGATTATCAGGCCGCCATTAAATAGTCTAATAAACAGCATTCAGAATCTCAAGCTTGGAAATGTATTGTACATAGAGCTGTATCTGTGGTGCATATGAGCATATCTATACTAGGCACATAAAGAAACTGTGTATACAAAAATTTATAATCTAGATTTATCAAACCTGTGTAGACACATAAGGATTTAAACTCAGAGATTAGTGCCATGTATCCAACATGCATGCACGTGCCACGTTCCGTGACGTCAGTGGGTTCGTCCTTGAGACGTGCAATACGTTGTTGCACGTGCACGGGAAAGAGAAACAGAGCAAATGAATGCCACACAATACTGTCACTTTGGAAAGCTCAACCCCTGCCCTTGCGATCGTTCAAAAAATTCAACGGCTATTGAAACGCATAGCATGCCAAGGCTCACGTCTGCACAACGTCATGAGGCCATTGGGATGGTCCGTGGGGAATGTCTCATTGACAAGTGGCTGCACATTTCCACTGCCACCGGAACACCATTTCTGCACTGGTGAGACGCTACCAGAACACAAATTGCGTCATCGATCGGCCACGTTCTGGACGTCCACGTGTAACAACGCCAAGACAGGACAGATGGATAAGGGTGACCCATCTTCGCCACAGGTTTCAGACTGCAGTGATGACTGCCCAACCCATCCCAGGACTTCGCGTATCCACCCGAACACAGTTCGACAACGATTACGTCATCACGGGATCAGACCACGACGTCCCGCCATACGGCCTATTCTGACACAACGTCATCGACAAGCTCGCCGAATGTGGTGCCGAAATCATGTCCACAGACCCTTGTTTTGGTCGAGTCCAGGTTTAACATTTCCCATAGAGATGGACGTCAACGTGCCTATAGACACGTGGGAGAACGTTATGCACAGGCCTGTGTTTTGGAGAGGAATCGCTTTGGTGGTGGTTTCGTGATGATTTGGGATCGAATAACAGCACGCCAAAGAACTCCTTTGGTGATTGTTCAGGGCAACTTAACCGGTGTGGGCTACAGGGATCAGATTCTTCGACCTGTGGCATTTCCTTTTCTGCAACGTCATGGCCCTGGGTTAACATTCCAACAGGACAATGCCCGCCCTCATACGGCAAGGGTTGCTATGGATTTCTTGCAACACCACAACGTTGACTTACTGCCTTGGCCTGCAAATTCACCGGATCTTTCCCCGATAAAGCATGTTTGAGACGAGATGGATCAACGTCTACGCCGTCTTCCTCGTCCGCTAGATACCGTCCTTGACCTTGCAACAGAACTTAAGAGAATCTAGAGTGACATCCCACAAGCCTTCCTTGCACGTTTGATAGGCTCTCTGCGTCGTAGATGCACTGCTGTTCTCAATGCCGATGGTGGACATACCCGTTATTGAGCTTGTGACATGGTCGTTTGACCCCTGCCCGGCTTGTGGATTCGTGACGTCATTGTGATTGACTTTTCAATTGAAATTCTCCCGACTTGTTATGGTCTCATGATCCCTCCATTAAAGTTTATATGTACCTTTGACATTGTACTCGTACTAATCAACTGGGATAATATTTTGACAATGCACAGTTTCTTAATGTGGCTAGTATAGAAAGACATAAGCGCATTTGTTAGGGACAAAAAGGACAAGAGCATAATAATCCGAAACACTGCATTCAAACTGCATTTCATTCCACAGCAAATGTTCATTCATGCGTCTTGTCGTTCATGTAGGTACAACATACAACAGTAAGGCATGCTATGGATCCGGTGGTCTGTTCTGTGTTCGGCATGACGTCAGCTGCAACTCTACCCAGAAGATCGCCATCTATGACGCCTACTACACTAACAATACAGAGTGTGGTGCAGGTATCTCCAACTGCGGCACCGTGAATCCAGCGAATGTGACAGAACATGGTTATCACAATTTCAGCAACACCGAGCTTGTCCCCCTTTACAGCAACTGCTCCAGAAAGACAAAGTGTAGCTATCCTGCTCCCCGGCGGAGTGCTGCTCTTGCATTCTCTGTTGTCAAATATCAGTGTATTGAAGGTAAGTGTATGTTGTTTGAGCTGAATAAGAGGCTGTCTTTATTTCTATATTTAGAGACAGATTTAATCTTACGATAACGTGTTCAGAATGTTGTGGTCACTACAATCATGCATATGTGCTCAGTATATATCAATATATCTGTCGTCATTTACATCCGTTTTACGAACTGATTTATCAGCCAATGACTAATTTGGTGAGGCAAACAGAGCGATTCGCTATTTGTAAGGGACATTTATTGCTTTATCTGTTGATAACAAACGTATGCTACTTAGCGATTTTAGAAGTGATCATTAGATGCGGATCTCCATGCATGCATCGGCTTCGTGAAGTAACAATGCAAGCGCTTTGAATACTGGGTTTTTGGTTCCATTCGCTGTCCACTAACAAAGGACATGCAATGGGCAAAATGCTTACTCTCAAGCTTCTGCTGTGTCGGAACATAGACCATTCCATATAAAGGTTTTACTGTCATGGATTGTTCTATAATTCAAATGCGTATGTGACCTCCAGGACAATGCGTATCACAGCTGTCTGTTCTACATGGAACCCATGTCACAACGACTAATTGTTCGACTGTGTTTGAACCGTTTGAGAGACTTAACGTGACAATCGAGCTTCCGATATACTTAGATTTGTCACAGCGGTGTTCAAATTGGCTTCTGATCAACGGTAAGAATGAATAGTGACAACAGATACCAGTGTATGAAATAAGGCCCCTCCGACCGACCAAGACAGGCTAGATTTCTGACGGACGGTCTGAATATACAGCTAGCCAGCTTGATGGTCTGGTAAAAAAGTTAGATAAAATTTTAGTCTGATTTCTCTGAAAATGACTGCTGTGAATAGATTGTTAGACAATAAATACATGACTCAGATTCATTAAATTTTTCATTGTAACTAACAATTGATTTCTTCCCTTTGGATTGTCTGGTCTGGTTAAATCCAATTTGGGCTGGTGACATTTTGAAGTTACCAGCCCTGATCTCTGGCTGGGTTTTTGGCTTATTTCATACACTGCAGATACTCTCTTCTACACATAATGTGTACGTAACTTCTCTACATATCATGTAGGAAAAGTAACTGTATTGACATTGAAGATAAAGCTTACACAACACTAGTCCCTGCGTCAAAATGTTCAAGGTAAATGTCGGTGGACAATAGCTTAGTTTTTGCGCACTTTCAACCGCTGTTTGTTTTCAACAGAATTATGATAGATGCGTAACTGTGTCAAAACATAATAGCTGCAGACCCGTTCAGTATAGGGTGTGAAACTGAGGTTCTGACAACCACATGTACGTAACCATTGAATATTTCCATTATGTTGCCCACATGTAGTTGATGTATGATCACTTCTATCATGTTCCATTGTCATTGGAACTTGTGACTCTCAATATACAGTCTATCTCTCCTCAAACAGTTACAAGCACGGGGTCAACCGTCAATACAGTTTTCTCAACAAAAAACACCACTTCACCAGGTAATGTAAATGCTTTACTATGGACAATTAGTGGAGTCAGTATCACTCATATCGATTTCACCACATTTCCTCAGTCCAGCACCTTGTATTGTAATATCCCCTCTCACAAATTTATATCTAATTGCGAATGATAATCCCAATTTTGAGGAAATTCATCGAAAGGCAAACATCCTACTTTTCAGCTTCCTTTAACCTAAGAGCTTGTAACAAATATGTATTTGCATGATACATTTGATACACCGTATGTTTGTGGGAGGCTCAGTTATATACACACAAAGCTGTATATGAACATAGATGATATATGAGTAACCAATGCCGACACCTGAAGTGAATTTCATCATTATGTATGTATGTGTGTGTGTGTGTGTGTGTGTGTGTGTGTGTGTGTGTGTGTGTGTGTGTGTGTGTGTGTGTGTGTGTGTGTGTGTGTGTGTGTGTGTGTGTGTGTGTGTGTGTGTGTGTGTGTGTGTGTGTGTGTGTGTGTGTGAAAAAGGCAAGATCGAAAAATTCAGAATTGATCTCTCTTTTACGACCTTCAATTTTAGGTTAACATGGGTCCTCCTTTGGTCAAAACGGTGTTCCTCCGAAATGCGTGTGTCACGGTTTGCACACGAGTGACCAACCCGTCACACGGGTGTCATACGCGTGGCTCATGTGTTCCATATGAGTGACCAACGCGACTCACACGGGTTGCGTCACGCGTTGCACGCGCGTCTAAGTGGAATGACCTTTTAGGCAGTAGTGTAGGTGTTGCATGCAGCTAGGAACATGTGGAGGGGTTGGTGACTTCAAAAGACTTCTTTGATCCTTTTCCTAGGACATAAATTAGTATTTGAAGAATAATTCTTTCGACCAAATTCTTTAAACTATAATCAAGTTCCTACGAACTTCTAAGGCTCCGCTACATAACATTCCAGTGTATTTTGTTGGCCAGGAAAACAATTATCAGACCATCGTAGTAACGTTCTTTTCAGCTGTGTCTACAAGAGGTGCAAGAGGAAATATCCATGTCGGTTACCGAAATATTCCATCTATATGACGACAGTCTCTAAATACTCGAGTCTGGACGTACAATGCCCTTTCCACACCCATAAGAATATATCCGCAACAGGGATACAATAAAATGCAGCAACACTCAGTCGTCGCTTACGACAAGCACGGGTGGCTGAAGCAACGATGAATATATATCACTGACTTAACTCGTCCAGCATTAATTTACAAATTCAGATTGTTGATTGTCTGGCCGCCAAAATATATGATAACTACGTTAACATAATGTTTGCTTTGATATTAGGACAGACGGGAAATAACACTGGTGCAATAGCTGGTGGAGTTGTGGCCACAGTCGTAGCTGTACTGGTTGTAACACTGGTGTCAGCGTGGATCATACGGCAGAGGTTAGTACTGATGCATTCCATTTTACATATTTGTAAATATATGAATACACAATGCCATTTAGAAAGTTGGCAAATGTAACATACGTTATATTTGGGATTACAGTTTCTCAGTAAGGTACAGATTCCAGTACTTTTGTTGGGTTGAGTCCCATCTGCGATTCGAACCCACACCCTCAGAGTCAGGTACCTAATCGCAAGCACAGCCGACTAACCCTCTCAGCCACCGTGGCTTCCACAAAAATGAAAATCGGACAACTGGTACTGTAGACCACGTACTGTGTGTACCCCTCTGACAAGTGTACACACAGACAGAATTGAATTGCTTACCAGCTTTATGACTGCAATGAACTATTATTGTACTTTTATTATCATTAAAGTCTCTAAATTGACTTCCAGACGAGCGAACAGCGAATCGAAAGCGAAGACATCTTCTATAGATGTAAAGTCAGACATGACCTACAGTTTGGCCGGTAAGATCCAACAGAACAACTACCATGAAATCCAGGACCTGAAGACACAGAACTGTGACCATGACTACGCTACCGCGGATGTCATGGGTCTTCCTCCAACTACAAATACTTACTTCACCATCGAACCTGCTGGGAATCAAACTGTAAGAGACAATTCAACAGTCTCTGCAGCTGAAGGTGACTATAATCACATTGGAGACACGCCATCCCTTCAGATCAGTGACTACGACACAACAGCTTCAATAGCCCAGCAAGAAAATGTTGGAGAAGATAATTATGGTTACAATCACTTCCAAAAGAAAGCCAACACTCAGACACACCAGAATGACTACGACACTGCTGCCTCTGCAACTAAGGCAGTGGCCGAAATCAGTACGACCGAAAGGAACACAGATGAAGACGACTATGACCATTTTCATAGGGGAACCAATGCTTCTGACACTGTTAGCTCGCCGTATGGTACTACATCGGGAGTGGAAAATAACCCTGATTATTCTGTTGCAGGAAAAATGAAATGAGCATATCCCGAAATTGGAATATGTGCGTATGTTCTGCTTCCTATGGAACACTATAAGTTGCAATTGTATGCTTCTCTCGTGGGTAATACGGTCTGATGTACGCCTCTTTGTAGCAGTATAACCCGAACCGGTAGGAAGCTTGTTAAAGTGTCATTGAACAATGAAATTAACGTATTTCACATGGAGGTAGTATAGGTACATGTTACTAAATATCAGATACCTTTACAGTGTTCCTTATCACATTAATTGGTTTTATATCAGAAATAAATGTTTGAAACTTTCATATATGAGGGGAAGCACATTTTGACCATACGTCTGAAACCAATGCTTATCTGATCATCACAGTTTCGCGTGATATCCAAGGACTGAAATGCTGGTCACTCACAGACAGATGATTGAATCCTTCTTTGAAACGATTTTAATCAGGCGTCACAGGATGTTTAGACAATGTATAAGCCTTTCTGACTACTTCAGCATCTAGACTAGTTCACTTTTGTATTGATGTAATCCATGTGAAACAACCATCTGTTGTGCCTTTGTTCAACACGGCATTTCATATCATATATAACCACAGTTGATAAGTTGAATTCTTTATGTTACAATGTGTTTCAATTTTACACAGTCACGTCTCCTTCCGATATCATTCACAGTCATCATTTTCGTTTTTAGAGGACTTGAAATGAGAAGGCTGGAGATGTTTCCTTTTTTCATTTGTAATGTAAGGAGCTCACGATGTGAATGAACAGTTTCAGGTTGTGCCAAAACTAAAATGATTCGATGAATGTGCATACTATTCATGAATGCTAACATGCGGCTAGGAGGAATCTGGGAAATATCCAGTTACATGGCTGCTTATGTGATTATATGACTTGTTGATATGTAAGGTCTATTCACATTTTGCTTTTTAACTTTTAACCCATATACTGCACATATAGATGTTGCAGGTATTTTATTGAACATTTTTTAAGGTTTTGAGGATAAATACTTACTCAAAAAGAATAGATGCTCTTCCTTCTGTACAAGCTATCAGTTATGTCTGGACATAAAAGGCTTATGTCATTCTGGTCGTAAAAGTCGACATGATGGGTCTGTGGTTTGGGTGTGGTGACAAAGTGTGGTGTGTCAAAGTAACTGGATTGTATTTATAAGTAATTTTGCGGAGTGCTGCGTTAAACACCAAACACGAACTTAACCTTTACTTTTAAATCACCCTTCTTTTAAAACACATAAAGGTGACGTCTGAAGTCAAATGTATTGATCACAATCTCAACGACATAAATATTTACAATGACATAAAACAACCGATGTGTGCCAGTTGAGCAAACTGAGGTGGAGCGACAAAAACAAGCTTTCAACGTAAAGGCCAAGGGTCACACACATCTAAAATCGTTCAAGTGAAATAACTCTTTACTTTCATAGCGTATGTGGCCAATCCTGCTGCAGGACATGCAAAATGTCCTGGTGCACAGAATAAAGTCATCTGTCTGATGACGTCTGGTAGGATGTCTCCATCCTTCTTGGTGGGCCTGCAACTGTTCTATTCGTGTCAGTTAACTGGAGGGGCGGTGGGGTAGCCTAGTGGTTAAAGCGTTGGCTCGTCACGCCGAAGACCCGGGTTCGAATCCCCACATGGGTACAATGTGTGAAGCCCATTTCTGGTGTCCCCCGCCGTGATGTTGCTGGGATATTGCTAAAAGCGGCGTAAAACCAAACTCAGTCAGTTAACTGGAAGATAATTATGATCAATGTAAAACATGAGTGAGTGACTGATAATATTTAACGTCACCTCGACAATATATCAGCCATATAGTGACAAGAATGTAGAACATGACGATTCATAGCATGTCAAAAGTGTTCTTTGGGCGACTTGTCTGGGGAGTGTACAAGCCATGGCAACACGTTAACGTTGTTTCCTGCAAGGAATTTCAATACTATTCGGGCTGTTTGGGATTTGGCGTTGTCATGTCGTAAAAGGATACTCATTACGGTGTATTCAGTTGTCGTGTACAGTGTCATATTTTGCCAGTAGACACATATTAGGCGTCAATATCTGCTAACCTAACGCCGTACACGACAACTAAAGAGGCTACAAACGAATGTCAAAATGACAACTTAATACTTACAAACATTTGCCAATACACACCGTTGAGGGATAAAGTCAGACTACTCTTGAAACCTCGTTGAAATGTTTAATTATAATCTTAGCAATGAAATCATGAACATGATTAGTTTAAATGAAATACCTGACACGTTGATAACTGACAATCAGTGATAGAGAAACAAGAAATACAATGTCGAATAACGAAGAACATCTGTAACAGCAAAGAAAGCGGAGTTCACTTTGTCTGTATTGTATATGCAGTTAAGTGTATTGTGATCGACGACCAGCGGTTTACTTTTACTAACCGCTATTCACTTCGCTAACAAGTATGTGAAACACAGCAATGTGGTAACTTTAAACTGCCACCATTCAGGAGGAAAACATTCTTCATTTTCTATGTAGAGCTCTGTAACATTCACGTATCATGATGCTTAAAGGACTCAAACGAAAGAGATTCTATTGACTAACGAGTAGTTAAAATATGTTATCATTTTGATAGAAGGAACGTGAAGTCAGAGATTCTGAACTTCAGAATTACCTGTAGATTTCCTTCTTTGGGGGTTTTGCACTGCAGTAATATATTTCTCAAGTCACAAAAACCATTATGACCCTTGATTACCTGTGGAGTTTGCATAATCGCCAGGGACAAACAGCCCTGAGGGACAATGATAAACCAGGTTCAACAAGGCGACCTGAGCGAACGCCAAATTTACTTCCTTGTTGATAATCTGAATGTAGTTTAACGCGACAGGTAACATGGAGTCCATGCGCAACCTATCGATTTATATCGATATTTATCGTATCCATGTAAATACAAGGTGGTCAATTGTTTTGTCCCTTTACGTATGGTTAATTAAACAAGGTAGTCTTATATCTGTAACAAGGACATTGTCGAAACTGGTCGACATTTCGCACGGTAGATCTTCTCCCCGGTGTCTGATGCGTAGCTGAGAGGTGGAAATTAACATGTTTACGTAAATATACACAATGCACTGCGTAACTTGATGTGGAGGTTAAGGTGTTTTGTATTTGTGCGTGACTCAACCGTACAAATTTCGTGCTAATTTGTCCTGTAGGATTATTCTCTCTAAGCAGAATACCTTTCACCACACATATATTATGTATATCGTGTATACCTGTAAAACATGACCTAGATGTACACGAGGTATGTAAGTAGGAAGTAAGTTATTTGACGTCCATTTTGTATCTGTCAAGGTTAGCTCAGCATTAGTTGAAGTTTCATTATGACGAGGTCTGTGAACGTTTGGAAGTGTTTCATCATTTTCGGCTATATTCTTCAGCCAGTTTATACAGTTAAGACTTTCATGTGTACATTATTATTATTCATTATATTATTCCATGGTATAACAGAGATTATCTTACCTCACACATAAATGTCGCTTTCTGATTGGCTGAGCGCTCATCTATTATTTTCAATGTACCCCGCTGTCAATGGCAACTCACTTGGTACTTCGTGGTAGTAATTCTTTACCTCGAATAACATTGAATCACGTATGATGTACGGAAATTACCGATGTTTTGCGAATGCAAATCGATGGAAGGGAGATAACTCTAAATCTGTTCTCCTTGTCAGCAAAATCTAGCGATGGCTACAAAAAGATTTGTACCCGTGCTTCAAACAATTCAAAATTAACATTAAGGTGTGCGGTAAGATAAATACGTTGTTCACTGGTCCCTTGGGGCCCAAGGGTTGATGTACCCTCGATGTTTGTTTACATTGAGGGTACATCAACCAATGTCCCCCTCGTGACCAGTCAACAAATTATAATAACAGCCTTAAAACAGATTCCTTTTGGTGTTATGGGCAAAATACTTTTGAAAACTGTATGAATGGACACCTGGACATTAATGATGACACCGAGTGTCCCTGAAAAGGTTTAATGAACTACAGTCGACACAGTAATATAAACATGTATTCGTTCTAGTAGACACGTATATGTTAATATGCTATTGGCAGTAGATCTAATGTGTAGTTCGTATATATTATACAAATATCGGTAATAGAAGGAATAGACGTGCAACGAACTTGGGTAGAATGAACTCTGATATAGGATGTAGTCTAGAATAGTAAAACCCCAACCATGACTCCAAATTGAGGCTCTTTGAATCGCCAACAAATATCATACAAACTTGATGACTAAATTTTGTCAGCAATATCCCACATATATGACGGCGGCCTGTAACCAATAAATAACGAGGCATTTAAGTGATTGACACCATGAGCATCGGTCTGTGCAATCGTGATACGATTACATGTGTCAACCAAGTTAGCGAGTGCGACTACCCGATCTCATTAGTCGCCTCTAAAAACAAGCATGGGTTACTTAAGATCTTTTCTTACCCGTTTCCATGAAGAATTTGATTTCAGTATTACCAATGTACAGAAATGAAAGGTCTAACTTCCCAGTACTTGCAGTTTAATATGATTCTCCATGATGTTTAGTCGATCTCCTGCCAGACCCCCGGTAGTGATATAGATTCCATAGTTTCTCCTCGTCCCATAGTATCATGGTTGGCTCCGTATTTCTCATGTGGATGAGGAGGTTCCATTGTCAACTACCAGACCGATAGGATAAGTGTCAGGGATGTATTTGTTCATTGTCCATTACATTTTCCCAAATTGTACTGACATATGTATGAAACATCCGATATGTGCGTTATGAAAACGACGCGTTATGGACTACGAGGTAACTGATAGTACAATCGTAAATAACTCGACTGTAAATCTTCATACATTGAATCTGTGATGTTTCTTGTTCGTGTAGGTACAACATACACCAGTAAGGCCTGCTATGGATCTAGTCTGTACTCGGCATGACCTCAGTTGCAACTCCACCCAGAAGATCGCCATCTATGACGCCTACTACACTGACAACACCGAGTGTACACAGACAGGTCTCTCTAGCTGCGGCAATTTCAATCCAGTCAGTGTCACAGAACATGGATATCACAGGTTCAACAACACCGAGCTGGTTTCCCTCTACAAAACCTGTTCAACAAAGAGTCAGTGCGTGTATCGTGCTCCCGGGCGAGGTGCAACTGGTACATTCTCTGTTGTGAAATACCAGTGTATTGAAGGTAAGTATATAGTACAGTTTGGACTAAAATCTTGTCTTTGTTATTAGTTTTATTATACTGAAAAGATGTAAGTATACGTGGACGGAGACAAGGTTGTGGAACACAAATCCATCAAATCTATTCCTGTGTTACAAACAACATCATACAGCTGTAATGTTGCTTAAGGAGGTTGGATTCAAAATATCAAAATGTCAAGAAATTGCTAAATGTGGTATCATTTTGTATACAAAATGTATCCCGAATATAATTATGTAATAAAACTTAGCAAGTCACCACGGCATTTGTTTGACAAGATGTGCTCCCTTGTTGCACCGTCTGTAAAAGATAATATGTCAATAAAAGTTCAATATGTGTTTTTTTATGAAGATATTACAGTATTGATATGAAATAAAGCAGGAAAATCAATTTATGTAGGATTTGACACATTAATTAACTTCTAAAAAAAGCAGGAATTTAACCAAAAAAATTGATTCATGAATGAAAAAAAGATTTTTATAATAACAAGGTTTTTTTATAAAATGAATTTTTAGATGCTAAATTCACACTAGATTAATATTCAAAAATTAAAAAAAATATGTTACCAGAGGGAATCAACATTATCACCAATTAAAGCAGCATACCCAAATGAAATTTGATAAGGGGGGATAACTCTTGCCCTGGTTTACCTCAGGATAAATGCTTGTGTGGCCAAAATATCATGAAGTATAATTAGAAGAAAAGATAAAGGGAAATAACTGCGTAACACAAATACGCGCTCCTACTGTCACATCCCGTCTCATACGGTATGCGCACAAACCACGGTATCAAACCTCTTTAAACAAATATATGCTCATAGTCACAATTGAGCAATCGACTCTGCTTTTAGCAGAGATTTCTTATGAATGTGTCAAGGGTATCTATTATGTTGTAAATGTGTCCGTATCTATCAGCATTTTACAAAACTGATCATGTGCATACAAACCTGACTGGCTAAGACAGACACAAAACACTCTCAGATGAACTGTTTTAGAGGCATTCTAGAAGTTGCGAGTAATAGGAATGATGCATGATCATCTCCTTTATTGTATAATAGCGACGTTTCGGTATAGATGCTTATACCGTTTTCGATATGCTTGAAAACGGTATATGCATCTATAACGACTTGTCATTCCCACGCTCTGATGGTTGTTAACTTTCCAGTAAGATGCATTTATTGCATTCTCTGTTCTGATATATGGGTCTCCTTCTCAGACTTGAATGTGGACGGTCAACTTCTGTATTGCAGAAAGAATACTAACAGTGTAAAGAATACTTACACCGGTGTAGAAAGCCATTGTCCATAGTATGGTGATCTACCTTCAATTGTCTTCTATGTTTAAAATGTTTTAGTTTTACATGCTAGTTTCATATTCATATCTGAGATGCTCTAGTATTTTTACTGTCATTCGATGACAGGTTTTTACATTCTAAACTTATTGATTTTAATATTGACATGAATTAAATTGATCTCGTCACGATATGGCTACTTTATTGCCGATGTGACGCTAAATATTAACTCACTCACTCAGTCCGGTGTAGAAAGAATAATCACACCGTTATCAAGCAAGTAATTTGCTTGATAACGGTGTTAGCATCTTCACCGAAACGTCGCATTTATTGCTATTAAGAAGTTGACTATCCATAAACAGTGGTTTTCCTTCATCTTTACAACTAAATGGTATCCTCCCATAACGCAGACAGGTAGTTCGCAGACGCCTTAAAACAACAACATTTACGGTTCAATGAACAGATTAGCTACTACCTGTTACCTACACATTAAAATGGAATAACCCAAATAGAAAACCACAAGAAAAATATCTAATGCCAAGTAAATATTTATTTGATGACAAGATTAACATAATATTTTTCAAATAACACGGTATAATGGAGTTACAATAGCTTCCAGTTGATACAACTTTTCAATCGAAATATTTTACCTATATTTGTAGATATAATTTATCTTTAATTAAACAGTAACAATACGTAGTAGCACAGTATCAGTGGGTAGTACAGTAGCTTTCAATTGGCATCATATAGTTGATGTCCATTTATGAAAGTTTTATGAGGTTGGCCAACGCATCAAGGTACTGAAGTGGAGTCTACTCTCCGCGACTTAGCCTGTCTTCGAGCCTCATGACCATGTTGTCTATTTCTCTGTAGACTCGTTTGCGACTTGGAAGAGCAGACCCGAATTCGAGTTGTCTCTGCTTGACTCTGTCAGCCATCTCGATCATTGGGCTTCACACATTGTACGTATGTGGGGAATCGAACCCGGGTCTTCATCGTGACGAGGGAACGCCTTAATCACTAGGCTACCCCACCGCCCTCCAGCCATATTGATAGCGAACACATGAGTTGTTCACCATTTTATATATTTCTTGAGTTGTTCAAGACAAAGTCAAATTCGTGTATTGATAAACTTAATTAATCAATCCCGTTTTTTAAAAACAGGTTTGAAATTGTCTAAAGATCAAAAGTGCAATGATACAAGTAATAACACCAATAGGTTTTCTGCTGGTACCATTATCAACAACTTTATCAAATGTTTCTGCAAGTCTCAACTTCTATGTTCAAAGAAGTGCATTTGTAAATCTTCTCAACTGCTATGCACATCGCTCTGTGACTGCAATGGGAACTGTTAAAGGAGACTTCAGAATCACAGAGATCGATGTTTGACAAAATGATGTCACATGACTGATCAAAACAGCAACTTTTCATTAATTGGATGATGAATTATATCTTTGACTACCAAAACATAAATCTTGTTTCGTAGAATTCTTGAAAGTATTAGAAATTGCCCTTTGAACGCCGAATATATCTCACATATTGCACCAAATAAAGATGTTTTATAGTCGGCGACCATTCTGGGTGATTTTTGGCGGCCGTCTTGGATTTTTGGAAAAAAAGGCCCACAAAGTCGGAGCCCCCAAATATGTTTTATCATGAAGTTCCCTAACACTGTGAGAGGTTTTCTGCTTTGATCCAGCTGGGAAAAGTCACGTAGTGTTAGATTTGGGAATCCTTGATTTTTTAACGCCATCTTGGATTTTTCGGGATTTGGGCCAAAACAATCGGGCACACCCCAAAAATATGTTTTATCATGATAATCCCCAGTACTTTGTTTCTTCAGTAACTTGCTCTGGAGCACATTTTGTGTCCAAAGACTAAATTTACATTGTCACCTACAACGGTCAGCTTTATTGAAGATCTTGCTCTTGTGGTGGCACAAAATGTGATTGTTAGTGTATAAATAGCTCATCAAATATGTGCATAATGCAGTACGTAATGTTTATTCCATATAAAAGCTTATATATTGGTGTGCTTTCTATCGCTAGTTTATACTCATATTGCTGAACAAGAAAGGGCATTTAGATGTGTCCGCTTTTTCACAGGAGGAATCACCACTGAATCAACTAATATAAGGTCTCCTGCATCCACCCCTTCAAAAACACCAAGTATGTAGTATTTACCTCATGATTTCTAACATAACTGTTCAACAGAAAAGAGAGGTACGCATTCTCTTGCAAAGCAGTCTCGTTGCAAATCCTCGGACAGATAGTACAGTGTATCTTGCCTGTCCTGAAATCTCACATACTTTCTTGTAGATATCACATGACATTCATGGTACTTATTATTCAAAGTATGATGTGACAAGGCGTGTTTTAAATAAATATTTTTTGTAATTTGCTATTTACATTTTATGATACATTTGATATATTTGTATATTGGTTACAGTTTGAATAGAAATAAATGTATTTTCCACAGGGGAGAACACAACTCGGCCAAATAAGGATGGGCTTCCCATATCCACCTCTTCACGATTCCCACGTATGCATTATTCACTGTATGGAAACCTATACACAGTGGTTTAAGACTTTTGACAAATGGCTGCATTCTAATGTTAATAAGTTAATTTCATGAAGATAGTTAATGCATTCAACTGAAAATATAACATGTGCGTTTTCATACCTCAACTTGATTTAGCTATGTACAAAGTTGAAGATTGTTTTGTAGATAATGAAAGTGCTGGCCTTGTGAAGTAAAAACACTGATGATCACGTTCATAGAAAAGACTCATGTTCTGGCCTGTGTTAAATGTTACTTTAATCAAATGTCAGTAAAGAGTACTATAGTTGATCTCTGCTCAATACACAGTGGCTGTTTCAGCTGATGTGTTTATGGGAGGGGTGGCTGCCGGAGCTGTTATTGTCATCCTGATCGGTCTTGCAGTGTATGTCCTCGTTATCAGGTATATTGGAAAGCACATTCACTCTTCCGGGTTCATCAAGTGAAGGATATACGTAAAAGATGTCCATCAAAACGTCTATCTCATTTGGGATGTGTTTGAGTGACTATACTTTTGCAAGTCCATGATGAAAAATCACAATAGAGAACACCAAGAATGGGATTATACTGTTTATCAAAGATTGGAATCGCAAAAGGATGTTTGCCTAAAAATGCTTAAAAGAAATTCACATGAAACGTTATCTGTCCTTGCAGGCGTCGGTACGATCTGACTCCGAAGAAACAAAGAGACACGCCAGCGTCTGTTGACCACCCCACTTACTCCGGTCTGTCAGCTGGAGCTGCTGTCAACAACTCTACCAGTATAGAACAGATCTCAAGAAGATACTACACATGGATCAACAACTACTCCGGACTACCAAAACATCTGATTTACCTATTTCATTAATTTGTTCATGCAACAGTCAGTGATGTAGCTGGATAACTTCAGATACGGCATTAGCGTGTGATGCGGATTGAGACACGTTAAGACTGACTGTTTTTATGCACCTACTTATCCTGAAGATCCTGGCTCTGACAGTGACTAGATTGTACAACCTTCTGTCCATCAACCTTACATATTGTCAGTTGTTTCAATACTTGGTACTTGTTTGTCTTAGTACTTGTTTGTCCTTATATACTCACGTTTTAGCTGCAGGACAGCTCTATGTTTTTATTGTGTTTGTATGGAGCTACCCATAGTGTACCTTTGGTATATACAGGTATGAACAATAGCCATGTTGATATTGTCGCTTTGATGAAACCTGCTCCTGCCATATTTACTGTAAACTCACATTGTATATCTACAGTTGTATCTGTGTGACCTTTGTTTACTGTAATTACACATACCATTTATTTAAAGAGCAGACATCTTGTGTTCCCAGTAAACACCTATTCTACTCAAAACGGAAGCCTAAAGTACGGAAGCCTTAAATATCTCCCGATGTATGCCCATGCATTGTACCACGTATAGTTAAATTCCGATTACTCCATTATTACAAATTATATTAACTTCAGTATTGTGGTAAATAATAATCAGATAGTACCTGACTCTTACTCGTCATTATTTGTCATAATATCGTCTATGTACGTTTAGTATACTTTTCTATGTATATTTGCATAAATAGAATGCATTGGAAAGTATGCAAATGTACATAGAAAGAGAGATTTTCTTTGAAATGTTTAAGAAAACTTCCATTCCTTCGGTTGAAAAACAGTTTGTATTGATGCTGTGTTCGCTATGTATGTTACATGCTGGGTTACTAAGGCAGTGAAATGAACCTTTCAAGTGTGATTTCGATTAAACAAATACTTGAATTATTTCAAGATAAATAAGTATCTTCCAGTTAGCGTCCTATTCATGTATTTAAAATATAAAATTTCAGAATGTGTCCTATCTCATGGGAATGTGAGATGGGAATACATCCGAAGCAAATTTCAAGCAAGAGATAGGGACAGTTTCTGAAAGTAATTCCACCTGACCGCCAGGCTGGGAGGTATGGTGAAAAGAAGAGGAGCTGATAATTAATGTTTTTGGGTTGTAAATTGTGTTTGGCAAAATCTGAACTGTGGTATTGAGGTTGGTGGCGTAAATGTCCACTTTGATGCTATATGCAGATGATATTGTGTTATAATAACACAGATCAGCCTTCACCCTACAGACTATGTCATGTGCGTGATGTTCTCAGCATTATGCATTACGTTTCACTGTTAAAAGCAAAAGTGTTCATAAAGATTTCAAGTGAAAAGTGACTTTGTTTTATGTGCTGTTTTAAGGTATAGTTCCTGGTCATCTTGGATCCCTTTCATTGTGAAAATAATTGCATTGTGTTTCATTCAGGGTCTGTCTAATAGCTGAAACTCAGACGAAATGTCTTCTTCGGGACAATTTCCTACCTTTCAAGATAAATAATACAACAGTAAATAGTTTTTCTTAATTTGGAATACTCCTTTCTTCTTTACTGCATTATTATACGTCCAACTGATGCTAAAACTTAAAATGAACATTATATTGAATGTGGAATTTTAACCAAATATTTATCAGGTAAAATATTTTTACTGCAATTTTCTGTTTGAACACTGTTTATTGCAGGTAGCTTTTGGAGTATTTTAGCTGGGATGCAGGAGTTTGGTTGCTACTTTAGTGTAGTTTAAAGATGAAGTGCGAGTCTATTTACAGGAAAGCGTAATCCCAGACACAACCACCCGGAACAACCCTTTTCAGCGTTAATAATATGTCCAGACTTCAACGTTGATTCCACGTCGGATATCTACGTCTAAAACTTTCATATACAACCTTTTTCAGCGTTGATAATCGGTCAAACTTCAACGTTGATTCCACGTCGGATATCTACGTCTGAAAATCTTTTCATACATACCTTTTCTCAACGTTGATAATCGGTCAAACTTCAACGTTGATTCCACGCTCGGATATCTACGCGTCAAAAACTTCATATACAACCTATTTTCAATCTGTTTTCAACGTTGAAACAACGTTGATGTGCCTACTGGAAAGCTCCATGAAACACTCCGCTCTTCCAGTGGGAAGTTGTTAAAATCCCAAAGTACAACTTAAAGTCAAGTTTAGGACAGTGCACTTTCAACTACAGTGCGCCCTCAGTTTGGAATCGCTCTCCCAAATGAACTCCGCCGAATTCCGCTTCTCTAAGTTCATTCAGACCGGTTTAAAACATTCTTATTTAAACAAGCTTTCTTTTAATGTGTACTTTCCGTCCCATGTTTGTGAGAGAAATGCGCAAAGTCCTTTCGGAGATTAGCGCTATATAAATGCTATCCGATTATTAATTTTATTTATTACTATTTATCTTACAAAAGATCCTCCGGAATCTTTTCTAAAAATTCTGCAATAATGTTACGAATAGGTCTCTGTC